CAGCGCGGCCCTACTTCCCACTGCCCGACCCGTGGGCCGCGGGCCTGGCCGGCCTCCCTGGGCTGGCTGGCCTCAACCATGTGGCCTCCATGTCTGAAGCCAACAACTAGGCTGGTCCTTGTCGACCTCAGCCACAGCCCTGTCCCCCCTCCTACCAGGCCTCTATCCCACCCGATGGGTGTGAAGCGTTTATTTTACAAACACAAAGGGAAAATGAGAAATATATATATTAGCAGTGATGGTATTTTCCAGGCCTCCCCAGGCAGCCACTTCCTGTTGCTGCTTTGAGATGGGGATCTCCTCTCCAAGGGCCTGGTGCCCAGCCTTGCCTCTCCCCTGCTGTCTCCCCACTCTCCCACAGAAACTCACATGGGCCCATGCCACAAGGGAGAGCCTCACCTGGGTGCCCCAGATCTTTGGGGGGGAAAGGGGGTTCTTGGTGAGGGGGGCCACTCTCCCCTCTCTCTGGGGCATGCACTTTGGTGGAACCCCACCACCCCACAGCAGAGTCCCTGCCCACACCGCTTGGAGGGGTCATCCTTCAGTATCCAGCAGTTGGGGATCCTTTAGAGAAATGCCCACCTGCTCCCAGAAAGACATGTGCTACGGGCAGAGAGGCCTTTCAGAGTAGCCAGGCTCCTGAAGTCTAGGCCACCGTTTTCAAAGGGCTGGTCATTTGAGTCTCCTCCCCCACCCCCACACACTTATCCCTTCTAAGAGCACCCCTGAAGGGTAGGAGCTTTTTAATCCTGAAGTCCCTGGTGAGGCAGCCTGCCTTACTGACTTAGCGTGCACCTCCACCTCCAGCTCAGCGTGTTAGCACAGGTGAGAAGTGTGACCCAGCAAGGTGTTGGCACAGAGAGAGAGAGACGGTGACAGGCGGGCCTCTGTGGCCTGAACACAGCCCACAGGCAGTCCTGGGGACTCACAAGCTACCTTACTTTGTGTCTGGAGCCCTGGGGAACACTAGTTGGTGCTTACCATCTCCACGTGTCCCCCCCACCAGGGCTGGAGTCTCTTGGGACTGGGGCCCACACAGAAGGAATGTGGCCTGCCTCTTGCCACCTGGTGGCTGCCTCACTTCCCCATCCTAGAGTGGCCCCGGCTTTCTGTGTCAGCCTCTGGAGCAGTGGGTTTCTCAGGGCCTTGGTGCTGCTCGTTACTGCTCACTTTGCTGTGTGGAAACCCCCTTCACCGCTCCCTCCTTCTTCCCTCGGGGTGGGGGGGATGAGGCTGATGTGTGTGGCTCCCCTTTCTGACAAGGCAGAAGCCCCTGGGGCCCAAGGGCTCTGAGACTGGCCTGTGGCTCGCCATCCTGGTTCCTGAGTTGCAGCAGAAGAGACACAGCCCCACCTGCTCGGTGCCTTCCTGACCTCTCCCCTCCCAGCCTCACCTCCCCATCCCTGCCAATTCACTCTGGTTTCTCAGTAGGCCAGAGAGGAGGAGCATTTGTCCCCACAGAGGGACAAGGCTGGAGTCCCAAGTCCCCTGTCCCCAAGCTATGTGATTGAGAGACTTTGGCCCTTCCTGTCACCTTGGCTTTTTCCTCAGCAAACACACACACACACACATGCACAAACAAAAAAAAAGGCCAGAGAAGACCGCAGACTGTCCTTCTCACGGCTCCCCAGAAGAGACCCCCAATTCCTCACATCGCCGGGTGCCACTCCAGCCAGGCGGGACTGCTCCAGACAGACACCGTCTGTCCTCAAAGTCATCTGCCTGGGCGGCCACCCCACAGACTCCTGTCTCCATTTCAGACCCTTGTCCCTGGGCCCCACCAGCCAACGTGCCCTTTTTCCCCCATCAGCCAAGGGATTGAGGCTGAAGCAGACTTTAAAAGGAAAAATGAACCAATTGGAACCTAGTGGTGTTGGGCTTTTGTTTTTATTTTGTAAAGGCAATGACTTCTTATAAACTCCGTTTTTCAGATGACTGGTTCGTTCTCTCCAGTCTTTCTTGGCTGCCGTTTGAAGTCGTACGTTGTAACAGACCCAAAGATGTTGAGTACTGTATCATCGAGAACTTGAAGCGGTTGAGTTGCGGGGGGGAGGGTGGTTGTGTTTTGGTTTTGGTTCCTTTTTTTCCCCCCTTTGACATTTCAATTTCTCTGTCTGTGGGAGAACTTTGGAATTTTTTCTATTTATAACTCTTTTTTTATGTGATTGCTCTATGTAAAATGATACTCAGCAAAGTTTGCCTTAGTGATTCAAGGGACAATCTTCCGTAACTATGGTCGCACGCCGCATCCTGCCGAGAAAAACGCTCAGCTAGTTTTCTGGCCTATTTATTAAACAGTATTAATGAACTTGATTGAATTATGTTGAGAGCTGCCCCTTCTGTGAGAGGTGACTTTCTGGAAGTTCACAAGAAAGCAATGAGCCAATGCATGGACTTCCACAGCTTAAGGTGTTAACTGTTGAGTTTTGTAAAGATAATGTCAAAGACACTTTTACAAAAGACACAGACCTTGGACCTTCTTTAGCATCTGGAAGGCAGCACTGTGAGTCAAAGCAAGCCATGCTGGCTGAGCTCCCTGGTTAAGGCAGCTTCCTCCCTTGCACTTCTTGTTGCCATTAGCAGTGGGCGTTGGGGTAGGCAGAACTCAATCCTGCAAGTCTCATACATTCCAGTGTCGGGAGGCACTGTTTGATCCTGAGCTCTGGGGCATTGTGAGCCTAAGTACAAAATGCGTATGTGCGTGTTCACTCGGGTGTGCAGGTGTAGCCTGTGGTGTGAGCATGGGAGAGTCACAGGGCTACTATTTTCGTACAGCTGCTCCTCCTGGTCCCTGGCCTGTCCTCCTTCCTCTTGGTCACTGGCACTGGAGTTGGGCTGCTTCTTTCTTCATCTGGGCCTCTTTCCCAAACACAGAACGCTAGATCATAAAAGAGATAAGGAGGGTGCCAGCAGGTGGCATGGAGATTGAGGCATGGGATTCCACATGGCCAATTGCATAGTCTGAGTCTCAGACCTGGGACTTGAAAATCACACCGGGTGGGTGTGCATGCATGCCCAAATCCTTAGGGAGAGAACGGAGGTGTGGTCATATCCCCCAGGGGGTGCGGTCTCTCTTTTCTTCTCTCTCTGGGGATCACACATGCCCTAATTAGAGGAAAAAGAAAAAAGGAACTATATTTCCACCATTAATGGGGTCAACTCTGCACAAGGTCAGCACCCATAGCACGGATTCATTTAGTAAAACTGTTCTTTGCACTGCCTTTTCTGAATAACCAAGCGTTAACCCAGAGCCCCTTTCCTGTTTCCATGTCCCGTCAGGCATTTCTCAATCTAGAGACAAGAACAGATCTGGGTTTCCAGTCTGGACTGCAGGTGTAGCCTGTGGTGTGAGCATGGGAGAGTCACAGGGCTACTATTTTCGTACAGCTGCTCCTCCTGGTCCCTGGCCTGTCCTCCTTCCTCTTGGTCACTGGCACTGGAGTTGGGCTGCTTCTTTCTTCATCTGGGCCTCTTTCCCAAACACAGAACGCTAGATCATAAAAGAGATAAGGAGGGTGCCAGCAGGTGGCATGGAGATTGAGGCATGGGATTCCACATGGCCAATTGCATAGTCTGAGTCTCAGACCTGGGACTTGAAAATCACACCGGGTGGGTGTGCATGCATGCCCAAATCCTTAGGGAGAGAACGGAGGTGTGGTCATATCCCCCAGGGGGTGCGGTCTCTCTTTTCTTCTCTCTCTGGGGATCACACATGCCCTAATTAGAGGAAAAAGAAAAAAGGAACTATATTTCCACCATTAATGGGGTCAACTCTGCACAAGGTCAGCACCCATAGCACGGATTCATTTAGTAAAACTGTTCTTTGCACTGCCTTTTCTGAATAACCAAGCGTTAACCCAGAGCCCCTTTCCTGTTTCCATGTCCCGTCAGGCATTTCTCAATCTAGAGACAAGAACAGATCTGGGTTTCCAGTCTGGACTCCTCTGAGCTGCGTCCTCAGTCTACTCACGTCTCGGTGCTAGCCCTCGCTTTCCTCACTCCTGGTAATAAAGGAAACTGAGCACATCAGGTCTCCAGGCTTTCCACCCAAACGTTCCTCAGCAGAGGGGGACAGCCAGCTGGCGGGTCGGGGCGATCTCCGAGGCAGCAGTCTGCAGTGACCTTCCCGTGGTGGAAAACCCCTTGGGCTTTG